AGAGAGAGAGAGAGAGAGAGAGAGAGAGAGAGAGAGAGAGAGAGAGAGAGACGTTTCCGATATGATATTACCTTATTTTCATTTCAACTAGTAGTCGCGTCAGCGTACACTCGTAAGAACGATGCACTGATCAATTTCCCGCCAAAAAGTTTATGTTCAGTAAATACCTGTGATCATCCTGTAAAAGTTCATTAAACAATAGCTTCTTGTTGATTATAAATAGAATAGCCGAAGAGATCTTTAGCAAGTGATATTGTTCTTTTCAGTTTATTCACGGATAATATGATTCACGCCAGTCACAATGACTTAGAATATTGAGGTTGTTGGAGTAACCTTTTTAAGAATTGTAAATCCTTTTCAGAATATTTGGGCGATTCACACCCCCTAGGCCCCAACTATCTTGGCTATCGATAGAATGTGGCTGCGGCTGATTGCAAGGTTGATGTTTAGCTGAAATCTGTCATATAATGTCTTTTGATAAAAACATTTAAGCCATTGAGGTAGCAGAGTTATGCTTCGTTAAATGCAGACAGCAGATTTTTGAGTTATTGTTAGGATATGTTGTATGCAAACTTTGGCTTTAGCTCCCCTTGCATAGGCCCGGTAAAAGCTTTTGGGGGGCTTGAGGTACAAAGAAAATTAGGCCTACCATGACGGTATATAAACTGCGATAATTGTTGATAATGTTTCTTATGAATTATGCTAATTATGATAATTCATGCTAATTTAATGACAAAGGATACTCCAGGCCTTCAGCTTCCTGTATGCTACATTGCTCGATTCCAAATAGGATTCAAGTTTTTAAGAAATTATAACTAAATGACTAAAGATGTGTGCACTTTAACAAGTTTTCTTGGATTCAAAATCTGCCTAGCTACAACCTCCTTAGACCGAATATTGACTACAACAAGATTCCGAAGCAATAATTATCAGAAGTCAAAATATATTGTACTACATTTAATCACGTTAACTTTGCTTGACGATGAGCAGTATTTTCATACCTTCATAAACCTCAAGCTCGCATACTTGAAGATGTTCTTGCCTGTTCAAAAAGATACTGACGTAACGACCCATCAGGATCTGTGGACAATCAAACTTTTTCAACTCTCCTCTGTCCAGTGTCCCGTCTTTCACACATAGTGCATTGTTTCGTCCGCCATTTGAACTATCATCCCCAACACTGACATCGAATGGATTTATTCTTTCAGGATCCCAAGCTGCAGCATTCTTTATTCGGACAAATGTGACTGCAGCTTGCCTTGTAAGATCCACTTGCCACCAGGGACTGTAGTTCAGTTCTGTGACACTGCATCGCTCCCAGTCCCAAGTTGGGTAACCATCATTTCCATAGCTGGCAACTAATGGAATTCCAAATATAGTGGCAGTTGATGAATGCGAAGATGGCTTTTTGTATGCGATATTCTCTGTTGATAACGAAAAATCATCATTAGTATGAATAATACGAACATACGCTGCAAATAGTCATGAAAATCTCGTATCTCTAGCGGAATCTTAATGCTTTAACTGTAATTTTTGGAAATATTGGAAATTTTTCTTGCTGGCCTAGCTAGCACGGGAAAGACCAATCACGACCCCACTGCTCATGAATCAGGCGATTAGCAATCTGTTAGATGATATTCTTGAGATGGTATAACAGAAAATTATAGCAGGAGACCCAGGGATGTCGAAGACTAGCTTGGAGGTGCAAAGATTATTAAACTCTGAAAGATGAATTGACCTATAGAGAACTTTGACATAGAGAAAGAGATAAGCTGATTTCATATGCGTAAATGTCGGGGGGACGTGGGGGACTGGATCCCCCAAAAATCTGAAGCAAAACGACTTTTTTGGTAAAATTATCGTCATTTTCTTTTAATGAAAGGAATCCCTGGTAGCTGGGTTAGTTAGCTACATAAGTTTTCCTTACACGCCTTTTTATAAAAATCCTCACTCAAAATCTAGGTCCTAATGTACCTAATTTTTGAACCTCTATTAGTCGAATTGCGGTACCAAGAGACCTCCATACTAGCTTCTTAGTTTTAACTGCACATTTAGTGGCATGATAGTAGCTGTAGCTAGAAAACAAGACCAAAAGATAAAGAGGACAAGAAATACAATTAAATTGCGTAAAAGTACCAAGTCAATAAAGAAGTACTTTTGCATTTAATATAGAGAGAAGCAATGAGTACACTCTTTGTTATTAGAATGCAATAAATTTTGCCCAGCCTCGATTTTTTTAAGAAATTTTTCGTTTTGAGCCCGATTATGTTCTTAGATACATCCTTATTTTTTCGAATCCGATATGGTTTCAGGAAAAAATCGCTTACTCTCAAATCTCGAATAGAGTACACATTTTCCTTCTTTCCCTAACGTCTGTCACTAGAGTTTAAGCATAACTTTTCCCCTCCTCAATTTCTCCCAGAAACAATAATCTATGTTCTTCAGAGAAACGTCGATTGATTTATCCTGAATGGTATAGTATTTTGTTAAACTTGGTCTGGGAGATGCGCTTTGAGCTATTCAGAAGTTATGATTACAAAAACATTCTTCCGCATCGACCCCAACAAGTGGGTCATCCTATGTCATTGAACTTGATTCTCAGCTCCCAAGGTTCAATTTCTTCGAGCTTTCTCTGAACAATGTTATCAACCCAATTATAAAAAGTCAACGTGCTAAAAAAATATCTGTAAAAACCTTCTTTAGAACTGAAATAAACCTTGATACAAAGCTAAAAATCTTTTTTTGTTTTTTGCGTCGTTTGCCCCTCAAACTGTTTCCATACAGACATACCATAAATTGCTTGGTGGTGCCATGACCCAATGCACACTTTATATTCATTCGCTCTGCTGACACCCATCCCTTCTCCCCTGACATGACAGATTTACGGCCTTGATGTCATAATTTGTATTTTTAATATCTAGGCTTGTATGACGAGAGGGTTCGTTTATCGTTATCCTTTCTTGACAAATTTGCTGAATATTTGTTCATTTTGTCTTGTATATTATCAAAATCCCTTTTGTCAAAATACGAAGAGATATGTAGAACGAAATCTAACTCAATATTTGCAACACTCAGCAAGCTGTAACCAGGTACTAGATTTAATTAAAGTAATGAGTGTGGCAGGAAATCGAAATCAATCTATTAGAGTTCACGTGCACAATTTCTTGTTTGGTTTACATACATATTTCTCTCACCATGCCTTGGAATGAAGATGAAATATTTTTTACTACGTTGCTGGAATTATACCTTGTTAAAAAGCGAAAATGGGCGTTGTCCAACTTTTGCCCAAGACTAAGAGCGCAACCACAGAAAAACGGACCACGCCCATTTAGGAGCCTACTCAAATTAGGTTTGAATCCTTCACTGGTCTCCTATCTGTTCCCAGTTTCTGTCTATAATTCAGAGTTGGATTTTGCTTTTTTCATGGTCAAATTAGTCCTCTACTTGAACATTCCGAAATCGTTCTCCAGTTAGAGGTAGCTACAATCTAGGCCACAATACCCTATTCAAGTTTTACTGTTACACAAAATATTCAGTTTTACTGTTACTTCAAGATACACTGTAACAGTTTTACTGTTACCACTAGAAGGAAAGCCAATCTAGTAAGGAGTTCAGAACACAGCATTTTCTTCTTTTTAACGTTATCTTGAAGTTTTTTAAACTACATTCATCAATAGTGCCTCATTTATGATCAATCTTTTTGCATAAATCAGTAAGTGTGATTACAGTGATTGTATGTCAGAATCATCCTTGTAGGATGCACACCTTCTTGATGGATGAGTAGATTTTCGAGCTCGACATATTTTTTGCGCAACCTCTTGGTTAGGCCTATCTTGAGTCCTTGAATCCTAAGTCTCTTTGTAGATCTTTTCGTGCTGCATTGTTGAGAAGAACAGGCTGTGTAGTTTCAATCTCAATACAAGCTATCTGCTAGGAAAGTGCTGGAGGATTAATATTGCACTCAGACTTCATTTTCATTATAAACGCCCAAAAGCTGCTAAAATTTTCTTCACTGCTCATTGCTTCCGGTGATTTAGTAGTTGAGTCAAGTGTGCAACGGTTTGACCATTTGCAGAGACATCATGAGCATCAAGTGGTACGACAAGATCACAAATGAAGAAATCCCATCACGTGGTAACTTGCCGCCAATGGCTGATATCCGCATTAGGAAAAGCTTGAATTGGCTCGGCCATGTTCACAGGATGGAACGTGATCGCCAATTGTTATACTCACAACTCTATAATGGCAATCTGAATCAATGAATATCTATGCTCAGATTCAAGGATGTGGCCAAAAAAAAAAGGAAGTGGAGAAAGATTGAGAGAGAGAGAGAGAGAGAGAGAGAGAGAGAGAGAGAGAGAGAGAGAGAGAGAGAGAGATGATATTACCTTCTTTTTATTTCAACTAGTCGCGTCAGCGTACACTCGTAAGAACGATGCACTGATCAATTTCCCGCCAAAAAGTTTATGTTCAGTGAATCCCTGTGATCATCCTGTATAAGTTCATTAAACAATAGCTTCTTCTTGATTATAAATAGAATAGCCGAAGAGATCTTTAGCAAGTGATATTGTTCTTTTCATTCACGGATAATATGATTTACGCCAGTCACAATGACTTAGAATATTGAGGTTGTTGGAGTTACCTTTTGAAGAATTGTAAATCCTTTTCAGAATATTTGGGCGATTCACACCCCCTAGGCCCCAACTATCTTGGCTATCGATAGAATGTGGCTGCGGCTGATTGTAAGGTTGATGTTTAGCTGAAATCTGTCATATGATGCCTTTTGATAAAAACATTTAAGCCATTGAGGTAGCAGAGTTATGCTTCGTTAAATGCAGACAGCAGATTTTTGAGTTATTGTTAGGATATGTTGTATGCAAACTTCGGCTTTAGCTCCCCTTACATAGGCCCGGTAAAAGCTTTTTGGGGGCTTGAGGTACAAAGATAATAAGGCCTACCATGACGGTATATAAACTGCGATAATTGTTGATAATGTTTCTTATGAATTATGTTAATTATGATAACTCATGCTAATTTAATGACAAAGGATACTCCAGGCCTTCAGCTACCTGTATGCTACATTGCTCGATTCCAAATAGGATTTAAGTTTTTAAGAAATCATAACTAAATGACTAAAGATGTGTGCACTTTAACAAGTTTTCTTGGATTCAAAATCTGCCTAGCTACAACCTCCTTAGACCGAATATTGACTACAACAAGATTCCGAAGCAATAATTATCAGAAGTCAAAATATATTGTACTACATTTAATCACGTTAATTTTGCTTGACGATGAGCAGTATTTTCATACCTTCATAAACCTCAAGCTCGCATACTTGAAGAAATTGTTGCCTTTTCAAGAACACAGTCACATACCGACCAAGCAACAGCCTTGGACAATCGAACTTTCTCAACTCTCCACTGACCAATGTCCCATCTTTCACACATAGTGCATTGTTTTGTCCGCCATTTGAACTATCATCCCCAACACTGACATCGAAAGGATTGATTTTTTCTTGACCCCAAGTTGCGGCATTCTTTATTCGAATACTTGTGACTGCAGCTTGCCTTGTAAGATCCACTTGCCACCAAGGTTCTAAGTCCTCAGCTGTAATACTGCATCCTTGCCATTCCCCAGTTCTGTTACCATCATTTCCAAAGCTGGCAACCAATAGAATTCTTTCTATTGTAGATGTTGACGAATGTGAGGACGGCTTCTTGTATGCGATATTCTCTGTTGATAACGAAAAATCATCATTAGTATGAATAATACGAACATACGCTGCAAATAGTCATGAAAATCTCGTATCTCTAGCGGAATCTTAATGCTTTAACTGTAATTTTTGGAAATATTGGAAATTTTTCTTGACTGGCCTAGCTAGCACGGGAAAGACCAATCACGACCCCACTGCTCATGAATCAGGCGATTAGCAATCTGTTAGATGATATTCTCGAGATGGTATAACAGAAAATTATAGCAGGAGACCCAGGGATGTCGAAGACTAGCTTGGAGGTGCAAAGATTATTGAACTCTGAAAGATGAATTGACCTATAGAGAACTTTGACATAGAGAAAGAGATAAGCTGATTTCATATGCGTAAATGTCGGGGGGACGTGGGGGACTGGATCCCCCAAAAATCTGAAGCAAAACGACTTTTTTGGTAAAATTATCGTCATTTTCTTTTAATGAAAGGAATCCCTGGTAGCTGGGTTAGTTAGCTACATAAGTTTTCCTTACACGCCTTTTTATAAAAATCCTCACTCAAAATCTAGGTCCTAATGTACCTAATTTTTGAACCTCTATTAGTCGAATTGCGGTACCAAGAGACCTCCATACTAGCTTCTTAGTTTTAACTGCACATTTAGTGGCATGATAGTAGCTGTAGCTAGAAAACAAGACCAAAAGATAAAGAGGACAAGAAATACAATTAAATTGCGTAAAAGTACCAAGTCAATAAAGAAGTACTTTTGCATTTAATGTAGATTACACTCTTTGTTATTAGAATGTAATCAATTTTGCCCAGCCTCGATTTTTTTTAAGAAATTTTTCGTTTTGAGCCCGATTATGTTCTTAGATACATCAAAATATTTCGAATCCGATATGGTTTCAGGAAAAAATCGCTTACTCTCGAATCTCGTATAGAGTACATATTTTCCCTCTTTCCCTAACGTCTGTCACTAGAGTTTAAGCATAACTTTTCCCCTCCTCAATTTCTCCCAGAAACAATAATCTATGTTCTTCTGAGAAACGTCGATTGATTTATCCTGAATGGTATAGTATTTTGTTAAACTTGGTCTGGGAGATGCCCTTCTAACTATTCAGAAGTTATGATTATAAAAACATTCTTCCGCATCGACCCCAACAGGTGGGTCATCCTCATGTCATTAAACTTGATTCTCAGCTCCCAAGGTTCAATTACTTCGAGCTGTCAATTACTGAAAAATGTTATCAGCCCAATTATAAAAAGTGAACGTGCTAAAGAAATATCTGTAAATACCTTCTGTCTGGTCTCCTGTCTATTCCCAGCTTCTGTCGATAATTCAGATTTGGATTTTGCTTTTTTCATGGTCAAATTATTCTTCTATTCGGACATTCCGAAATCGTTGTCCGGTTAGAGGTAACAACAATCTAGGCCACAATACCCCGTTCAAGTTTTACTGTTACACAAAATATTATACTTGAAAAAGTACGAAAGATAGAGTAACCGTAATTGTGGTTTACCTGTACACATTGTGCCATTGCCAACGAAACCAGGATTGCATTGACAGGAAAATGAGCCATATGCGTTGATACAGCTTGCATTAGAGTTACAGTTGTGGACACCTGTAGTGCATTCATCGAAATCTGGTGGGAAGAAACACGTGTCAAGGATATCTAGATCTGTATTTTTTATGGGAGGTATAAAGTAAGAGAACATTGGGCTGCATGCAGTAGTGTAGAGTCAAAAAATGAAGAGGGGGAGGGGCATAGCACTTTCTCTATAATATATATAAAATAAACGTTTTAATTGTTTTCGTTTGCATGCCTCGTTAACAGGGCTGTGGCGAGGCAAGCGTTGTTGGGGGGGGGGGGGGGGGAAACTACAAATTTACCTGATTGAAAAATAATTACCTGAAATTCTTTAGTTGCTGACACATACCTCTGCAATACATTTTCTCAACTAAACTCTGTGTCATCAAATAACAGACTTTCTTCGTAGTTGTGTTAAATCTGCATATCATGATAAAATAGAAGCAAAAATACTAAGGCAGTCCAATCCTTAAAAAAATGAATTCTGAAATGCTTGTCGTGGACTCTGCTTTAAGAAAAACTGATTTGATTTAAAACTATTGAATACTGTTAATTTTTTTAGATATTTGAGTACAAATTTGGAAAATAACTTTTTACAAGTAGATATTCCTCGCCTTACACAATTCAGGATATAGACGGTTCTAGAATATGGTCAGCCACCTATGACGTTGAATAAAGGGAAATTGCCACGTAAAAATGCCATGGCTTTTTCAAACACATTTACAAAATGGGTGTTTTCCCAAATTGTGAAGAGGTGTGATCAGCAAAAATATTTTCCTCTTTTGCCTACCAATCTTCCAAACCTGGCTACGCCACAGTTAAAAGCAAAATCTTAAAAATGGCGTTTCCATCATTTACCAGTGACCTTAAGGGTGGGGCACAAAAATTAATGTCTAACACCCCTCCAATCATTGTTGCTTAAATCCGACCTTTTCCCTATTGTTTTTTTACAATGGATTTGTCAATTTTGGCTAATTCCTGAAAGGCTCAGTCGTCCTGCCTCATAGATATAGGGACTGAGGGGCACAGGAGAAATGTGCCCCCCCCACTTTCAAAAACTAGAGGCAAAATGCCCCTTTGCAGATCACGAAGTTGCCCTTCTTTTCAACTGCATAACCCAATATTGCCCTTTGAATACTTAGTTGCTATATAAACCGATCAAAGAGAGTGGGGGTATCTTTTTGGAACCATAGCTTTCAGGCTTCCAGAAACAGCCATTCTTAACATTTCTGGAATCTTTGCTAGAAATTTATCATAGACATCCAGATACTTCACTGAAAACTTCATAAACAAAGGTTCTACAATTTGGTTTATTAACAATCTGTAAGAACTTTTTAAAGAGACTTGGCTATAGTAATATTTTCCTAAATGTGATAAAATGCAAACACCAAGAGTAAAATTCTTCATTCCAAACTTAATTGTTAACTTCTTCTCTCAGCTAATGTCCTTGATAATATAAAATCTTAAGCAAATAGATGTCTTCAAAAACATGTGCGAAACATCCCATTTAGCTGTCGTAACAACACATTGATTTTTTTAGAGAAAACGGAAGCATATTACAAATTGAAGCGCCGCCCCTTTTGAGAAATGCCCCACTACTTGTTTTGTGAGATGGTTTTTGACAAAAGGGTGCAGTTTTACCTTAGAGGGTGCATTTAGAAGAATGCCGAGGCAATAAATATGCTTGAATGTGCTGTAAAATATTTGGATGGTATTTACCAATGCATTGATATCCAGGGCACGTGCATGTGTCGAAGCATTGCTCTCCTGTTCTGCAAGGATCAGTTGCTCTACAAAGCTCACCAACCTGAAATATGGCCAATCTGTAAGGTTTCTTAATTTCTGGTATGAATGATATAGAAGCGCCGAAGGCGCTAGATGTCTTACTGGGCATAATTGCCCATTGAGCTAGTGAGGCAAAATCACTCAAGCGGTAATGAGGCAAAAAGACGATTCCTCATCAGGGCACAGTATGGGAAATTGCAAGTTAGACGAAGAAAAACCAAGATTATCGAAAATTAGCATAGTTTTGAAAGGTTAGTTATACTTGTCTAACTTACCGTGTGCATTTAGATGGTTTTAGGCCATAATTTTTGTTTGTACACGAGTTTTGAGATTTTTAAAATATTTTTTTACCGTAGGGTTGATAAGGGCACCATTTTACCGCATTAGTGATTTTAACTCACTCAATAACAATAGAGTTAGACATCCAGCGACTTCGTCGCTTATATATCATTGACTAGTATAGACTATAACTGGTTAGAGGCGGGTAACGTTGCTTAATCACAATTGATACGGACTTAAAAGCTGATTTTGTTCGGGAGACGGAACCTTCAGTCCTTTGTTTCGAAACATTACCGTCTTAAACCAATTAGTGTCACAGGGTCATAGCTCCTTCGCATTTCCTTTCCCCCGTTCTTCATCCTTTGACTCTCTGAGGCTCTGGCACCCAGGGTAGGTCATAGCACATGCGCATTAATAACAGCATTCGCACAGGCTGTCCCTGGTCTAGAACCACACAACTTCCGCCAGGGCTTCAAGTGATAATTCGCATGTGCAATGACCCTGAAACGGGGACTAGTGCATGTCTTGAAGACGGGCATGATTCATCTCCCGAACAAGATCTGTTACATAATAATTGATTAGGAGAAGCAGGTGATGATAATCCATTAAGCTATATGAAGAAGATTTTTGCAAAGAATAGTTTCTGAAATTGTGTTATACTACACTTCAACTACAGTGCAACTAAGTATATAGAAAATAACTCACGGCCCTTTTCAACTCGACTTGTGGCAGAGAGGAGCAGAGAGACAACGACTTCTTTCGTCAGCACTTTGAACAAACAGCAAGATGCTTCTCCCAAAAAGCCTCCCTTTTAAAATTACTACAGCGTATTTATAGATACAAGCATTTTACAACTATTGATAATAACCAATCAGCTGAAACACGTAAAACCTTAAACTAAAAGAAACATCGATAATTAACAGCAAAGTTATCCGGAAATAAAGTGTTTGCTAAATATTTAAATTATAGCCTACAAAGGTTCGAGTTCAAAATGTCAAAGTTCAAAAATTAACATCGTTTGATTTGGTGTACAACAATTGTGTGGTTTTCAAACTTTTCAGAGAAAAAACACGTTTTCTTGCTTTTAAGCACATCATCCTGAAAATACCTTCCCCCCCTCCAATTAAGGCTTAATGGGGGGTCCAGTCAAGGTAAAAAAGGGCCAACGCTAAATTGTTAAAATTTACCCTCGAATTGTAGTTTTTTCACAATAATCCCCAAACAGTAACATAAGAATCAAAATTATTTGTTATCGCTTTGTGTTTTTTTGACAAATTCAAAAATGGCTTTGAAAAAACAACCATTTTACAAGATACTGAAAGCTTTTTTGTCTGACACTCTACAGGGTATAAAATATAAGAATACGGGTATGACAAATGCCTTCTATATTGACCGCGTTGATCCGGGAAAGATTAGTCTGTGTTCTAGACCCCTAACTTTCAAGATAGGGGTCTGGAGGACAGGCTAGTAAAGATAGATACTTTTTGAAACAGATCGCAATCTTAACTCAGCAGTCATGTAGACGTGCCCCCTACGAGGTAACAACTACTTCAAATACCCCCAGATCGTAATGCTATTATCAAAATTGGGACATTTGGTTAGACCCTCAAACCGACCAGACTCCCCTGTCAGACTTTAATAGGAGTACCCCCCCCCAACCGGTCGGTATATTATAAATTGACAGAACCCGCCATATTCGTCATAATCGGTAAAGAATCAAATGAGAGCTCCGTATCTACTCTCGCATTCAACATGACTGCAACTACTACCATTCTCGAATATAATATTGTGAATCGCAAAGGGTCCCATCTCTGATTTCGCATGCGAACACAAAGTGATATACGCAGTGGAATCAGCGAGGGGCAAATCACTCTCAGGAAATCTCGTACACCATTTGTGAAAATCCTATTATTTTGTATAAAAATTCCCCAGAAATCCTTTTGTTTTAGGCAAAACCTCGTACGCTATATGCAAGAGTGAATCGCCCCTCATGAATCAGAATTACTTAGCCGCGTCACCCAGCCAAAAAGTCCTCGCAATTCAATTAAAATTTCGACAGGGAAGCCCCCCACCATCTTAGCTATCCCCCCAGCGGGCAGCCAATCTATTTTGGCTTTTCCAATACCGTCGGCACTTGATGGACTTTATCCAGTTTAAAGAAGCTTAGAGAAGAAAACATCTAACCTCGACATGAAAATTTCAGTGGCTGGTTTATGAATTTTCTTGTGTCTGTTTTCCACTATTGGTTAACGTGAGATAATTCTGAGTTAAATTGATAATTAGCTAAAGCTTGGTTTCCACTTTGAATTAAGTTAATGTGAGTTAATTTGAGATAATTTTGTCATCTGACATGGTTTAAAGATTATCTCATAGTGTGACCAGTGGCGGAGCCACGGGAGGGAACGGGGGGGGGGACTAGTCCCCCCCCACTTTTTCAGAAAGTTGGTCCTTGAGATTCTTGCAAACCTGATGAGAAAACTTGAGGGGGGGTATGTACGTTATCTAGATCGTCACATATAAATTACATTTTTAGGGAGACAACAGTTTCAAACAGGGGAAAGGGCGTGGTCCAAAAGGGCGTGGTCCCTGACACACCTTTTGTTCCCCCACTTATCCCAGGCTGGAGCCGCCACTGAGTGTGTTAGCAGCAAGTCACGGTTACTATGTTAGTAGGTCATTTCAACCTGCTAGAGGTCCACCACTGAAAAAGCAATCAATCGTAGTTATGTTTATACCACATAGTTCCTGGCACACCGCAATCAACGAATCTATTAATAAAACATTTGCTTGGTTTGACGCATCCTGGTTTCTTGCTTCAAAATGTAAAATGCTGTGATTAATTGAAGCTGCATATTGAAAAACTTTTGCGTTAGCAACGTTAGCAAACTTGTTCGCCCATGGACAAATTTGGTCTGGGCCAAAGGATTCTTAAAATTGTTTGATCCGCGTGACCCGCAGAAAAATTATGAAGAGGATACGAATTTCGAAATTATATGATTCAAAATTGGTTATAATGCTTTATTGGCCTTTCTCATTTAGAATAAGCCCAACTTTGCAGAGAAATTCATATAGAGTTTAGCCGTGAGTTAACGTCATGTTCTTGAATTAAAGCAATTTCCTCGTTTCGGTTTTCGGGAGTGTGCTCAATTTGAAAATAATATTCTATTGATGTTCTTATGATGTTCTGATGATGTTATCCAATTGGTAATGTTTTCAATGTTTTCATCGATTATCCTCATCTCTAGCACCTGTTGGCATTCTTGTTTGTATTGTATTTTTCAAAACTCGAAATCTGTGGTTAACATACGTGACATTTATCAATTTTGGTGCGGCAATAAAAGAGAGAAAAAAATAAACTTACATGCTTTTCATCGTATCGAGTAGAAAAGTATGTCCAACCGCTTTTTGCATCCGTTTTGACACGATCATTGGGATTTTGTGCCGACTTGTCATTCAACTGGCAAATCCCCATATCCTTGTTTATGTTTATAGACTTGCATTGACCTTCTATGATACATTCAGTCTTACACATCTGCTCGTCCAAATTTTCCAAAGTGCGATATGTAGCATCGAGTGAGTGACCATGAAGCACAACAGAAAAGTTTGCAAACGTTTTGCACGGCATACGAAGTATTTCTCCATTTGGCAGAAAGGCATTGGCAATAAACAGCAAACTGAAATGAAATGTTTTGTATAATTAGCTTTTTTCTTGGAAACAGGCCTACCCTTCCAGGAAGCATCATAACCTTCTTATTCGAATTATGGCTATGAGGTACTATATGTTTGCTGTATGCGCAAATTTCGAAATATTCAACAACAGAAACCAAAAACACAGAACTTCGCCTTTTATTAGTCCTTTAATTTTGTATGTAAAAGAGATTATTATTTGAGCTAGAAAAGAGCGACACTGGCTTTGACATTATTTGATACTACATTTTTATTTGATACTACATTTTTATTTGATACTATCTTTTTTACCAGTCCTATCGAAAGTGCATATTTCATCAATATTATCCAATTTATTTGCTTTAATCTTCTTTTTCTGCTTCGAAATACATACTCTCTGAGACTTTGGCCTCTCTTATAGCTTCTTAAGGGTCAGCCTGAATTCGTTAAAAGTTTTATCAAAATTTGAATAATTGATTTTACGTGTACCATGCATATCATCAAAAAGAAATTTGCAGGATCTTAAGTCAAGTCCGAAAATATAACCCAGATTTGAATAGTTCTGTCTGTCTTTGCCACTAGTATTTCATATTTCAACCAAGATGAATAATTGAGAATGTAGAAATTTTTACGAAGTTTTCACACAGCAGTGCAATATTTGATTTTTAATTATTGCTCCGATTTCTGCAGTACTACCTTTTTTGTAAAGCTAAGCATTATGGCAACGCTGTATATTCTGTTTGGTTCAGTTATAAAACACACGTATCATCGGTTCATTTCATGAATAGAAAACGGTTATGGCTGGGATGTTTGCCAAACTGGCAAGTTTCACCCGTACTTCATTGTTCGAGTTGCTTTTGGTGCAAATTTAGTCGGCACACACTGTTTACTTTACAAACAGACAGGGTTTGAAATTAAATTTTCGCTAATTTTGACCAACAGGATTCCAGGCGATTATTGTGTCAGAATATTTATCTTTGCAGCAGAATAATATAAAAGTTTTGATAGAAAAACGAACAACTGCAACAAAAGAAGCATTAACTTTTTGCTTATTTGATTAATTATTTAGTGTAAAACGGCTTTTTGCAAAGGATGAAAATACGGTTTTATGAAGTAAGTTGTTTGTTTGAAAGGTTGAGTTCATTCAGAAGAAAGAGTACCATAAGAATCATTTTCAGAATCGCAAGCAAAAATAGAGGTGGAAAATTAATCTCACTGAAGCAAAGAAGAAGAGTAAAAGTTTGCAAACACTGATAAGGAGCCCTGGCGCCTGGTAAAGGTATCTTGGACTTTGGTTAAAAACGGTGTGATCAAGCGGATAAATAACTCTATCTTCATTTCGGAAAGAAACATAAACTTAGTCTAAACCCTTTCATTTCACAATTATCCAATAACTCCATTATTCTAAGAAAAATGGTCTCAGGCGAAATGCACTTGTTCTTGCTTAAACTATTTGAAGGGTGTAACAAAACCCATTCAGCCACACTTAGCAAAACTAAGAATGGAAAAGCTGTGAAAGTTCACAAAATAGTTTCGATCGATTTCAACATTTACTGAACGAGACTAAAAAAGATGAGATTGAACAAGCCTCACAAGACTAACCAAAAATGATAAAGACTCAACAAGACTTAACAAACTTAACTTACAGGGACTGAAAAAGACTAACATAGACGGAACAAGACTATACATGGCATAACTTGGCTTAACAAGATTGGATAATACTATCATAACAATAAGACTGAAAAAAACACTTGAAGCGACTCAACAAGACTTAACAAGACCTAACAAGATTGGCCATAACTAAACGACACTGAACAAGGCAGAGCAAGACGACTGAACAGCACCGAACAAGTTGTTCAACGCTCACAAATTTTGCTAAAAAGAATTCCAAATACATTGCTATTGCATTATGTCCTAGCCACCCTATTGAGAAAAACCTTTTCTCTAGTAGCATATTCCAAAACAACGTTGATTAAAAAGTTTCACAAGTATCTGAATAAAACATTGGCAAAAGACGGGCAAAAATGAATCTTTGATGCCAGCTGAATTTTCTTTTTCTTGTTATTAACAGACTAGCTCCCCTCCCAAAAAAATTCTGGTTTCGAAGCAGGACATAAAAGTTTGTCACAAAAGGACAAAAAAGTCAAATCGTTATAAAAAGTTCGTCACAAAAGTACAACTTTGTTAGATGACAACATTGTTTGAAGAGGGAAATAAAAAATATGACATAGGAAGGCATATTCGATGATCTCGAACATGAAATTTCATATAAACAATATTCTTATAAAAAAGCAGTGTATGCTTTGAATTTTTCTACTCAATAATACTTCTGCATTAGAGACATTAATGTAATCGATATAGATCTACTTACAATTGCAAATACATAGCTTTGGCTGTTCGACTTCGTTCACTGAGCAAGACTGTTAATACGATGTGTGAGAATTCCTCTTTTATAAACAGCCACCTGTTTACATAAATTTTAATAAATATGTCACAATGTAGTAGAAACAACCAAATAAACTGAAAGAAAACTTCCCATGATGCATTGCCTGATGAAAGAAAACACCTGCAACTTTCGTTTCGCTCGCGTTAGAGTAAAATAAATAAGAACTTTAATTAATCGCAAGCGGATATTACGAGGATTTTGTGCTTGTTTGCAATATCGTGCGTCATACAGTAGAAGAATCATCGACTAGAATCAATAGCAAAAAACATAGCTACATCCATATTCGTATAACAAGATATTCTCTAAAACAGCGTTTATTCCAATAAATAATTATGTTCCGAAATGTTTCGGTCGCCAACTACGGTAATTTCGAGACTTACACTTTAGATTTATAAAAACGTTGAACTATCTACCGCATTTGAAAGTAGCGACAAATTGGAAAGAAAACTATGTTGCCAAATTTTCGCGGCATACCACTAGCAGGGCATGCATATCACATTACGGATTGGGGAGGGGGAATTTGGAGGGGCTGGACATGCTAAAAGCCAAAAGTAAGTTTTCTTAATTGGTTTAATTTAGTTATAAAAGTCATTTGGGGGAGGTAGCTTTAATAAAGGAGTGGTTAAATACATGAACCTTATGGTACACCGCCGCTTGTTAGCTAGAAGAGACGTCATTAGCCTTGCATGATTAAAATGATCTTTAACATGATTGCATGATCTGTTTTGTAGAAAAAACCTACCGCCCCCTCCCCCACCCCGGTACCTGTTAATGAGCTTACATTTTCATATGGCATTTCAAGAAAGGCATTTGGGGATCGTTAATAGAAGTCAGGAGCAAGCAGAAAAGTTTTGGCGGCAATGCCATTTTTTAGATTATCTATAATTTTTTTCAGAATATTTTTTGCAATCATTTTCTTGCAATCGTTTAAAAATTTGCACAATTTTGTTATGCCTTACTAATTGCTTTCACAAACTGGAAACCTCGAGGACCCCCTAAACCTCAATGCCCAAGGCCAATTTGCCATCGCCACCACCTTTTGGTAATCTTGTTGTGGGCTTGTTTTTTGGTGTTTCTAAAAGCAGATCGAAAAGAAGAATTTTAGATCATCGCCCCAAAAGGTCACCCCTGTGCTCTTTTTGCATAGTACCTAAGCAATCCAGTCGGCAAAAAAAGCAACTCGGTGACCTGCAAAGGAGCAGGTAAACTGAATTTTAGAAAAAAGGGGCCTACTGTGCCCTCCGGTACCCACGCCTTTGCTTGATTTCAAGACATCATTAATGCCTTGACTGATATATCAAACAAATGCGAGCCAACGTTGGTAGCAATTTGAAATCTGTTCAGCATGATGATGAAAGTTGAAGAGAACTTACCAACGTCCTCACAAAATTTTTTGCTGTATAATCAAAAAATCTTGCTCTTTTGAAAAAAATTTCATTTTCTTATATCTATATGCGGTTTTTGACTTCCAAACCTTCTTCTGTTCATGTTTTGAAACTATTTCTAAATGGAGACGTTAAACCTTGGTCCAAGGCCAGAACAGTTATGAACGTAGCAACGTGTTACGCAATGGAGGCGCCGTTACGTTGGAAGTGACCTTTTAATTGATCACGTTTTAATCATTTCATTTTCATGTGTTCGCTTAAATTTTTAACAGTTCTGTGGATCTTTGATCCTTTTCTTAATGTACATTGGTTAATTTTATGTGCATCATCATTTTAGAACACTAATTGGACATTAGCTTAATCCGATTATACAGTCATATCTAGCGTGCCAGCTTTAGGGTGGAGTGAGTCTTGAGGGGCCAGCCGCTACGAGAGCAACTTTGTTCGTGAAAGAGACTTGACGTTTTTGTCGAAGAAGAAGTCCAGAAACACTTGCCCTGCCCAAGGTTCAGACTCGAATTCAAGATCATTCAAGCATCCGCTTTAAAGCTCGCAAAGATAATCTCAAGGTTGTGAGTTACTTTACTTATTATATTTTAGTAATTTAGTGGTTTAATCTCTTGATGTTACTGGTTTTTTACCGAAGAACTCGCATTTCTTTAGAATTTTTCTGCTAGATTAAGCAAAAAGGTTAACATTGGTGCCCCGTGTGAGGAGAAGAAGAAGGAAGAAGTAAATATAAAATATCTTGTAGGAATAATCGACGTTGATATTTTTGTATATATATTCGTTAGCAAGACGTGAACATTGGCCTTGGAGTTTTTCACAGTCGTAAGTGGCAAGATTCGCTCTTTATTGAATTTCCGTTTAAAGTGACAATCCTTTCACAGCATTGATCGAATTATTAGCTTTATGATTGACACATACACTTTGGTATTGATTACCCATTTGCGAATTTAGATGACAATCTTTGCTTTCATGTTTGTTGCTGTTTTAATCGCACTATTGAGCTTTCCGTCCTGTTTTCTTATCGTTGAAATTTTTGCGTTAAAACTATGTCTGAAGATATGCAGGCGACAGTCATTGAGTTGCAAATTCAAATGACAGCTGTACACGCTGCTTTGGAGGGTAAAGGACAGGCAGGTCTCTTTAAACCCCGTTCTTTTAGTGGTTTGCCCAGTGAAAATATACACGAATGGCTTCTTGAATTTGATCAGTATGCACAATTTTTTGCCTGGACTAACGCCAAGAAAGTGAGGGCAATGACACTTCTTTTGGATGGCCCCGCCCAAGCATGGTTAAAGACCCAGTCCCCGGAAACAGCCAATAATCTTAATGCTTTGTGCGATGCATTCAAAGATCGTTTCGGTGCCAAAAACCTACTACGGACCGATGAAATATTCTGCAGGACCAGCGAATTAAGGAATTGGAGGGGCAAGTTGATTTACTTGTTTCATTGGCTTCGATGTCAAAATCAGCTTCAAATAGCCAGTTTTCAAACGTTCATGCAGTTTCGCCCAACCTTTCTGTTGAACAAGCTGTTGTAAGGGGGAACCAGCAACAAGAAGTGAGCTGCTTGATTTTCAAAACAATGTTTTGGCAGCCCTTGATGCAAATTTTTCTTCGTTTAACAAACAAAATGGCAGGTCCAAGTTTCCTCAGAAAGATAATCGTCCTTTTTCATGTGGTCGAAATTTACGTATAACAGACGGCCAATCTATTTTCAATAAATGCTGCCGCGTGGGTCATGTGACATGCTATTGTCGTTCGCAATCTTTCCAGGCTCAAAGCCAACAATTTTCCAGGCCAAAACCGCAATCCTAGTCAAAGCATTATGCCACTGGTATCGTTCATGAAAATTTAAACGGGTCAGGACGTTCCCAGTGGGGTCAATGAAGGTCCCTTCAAACAACTCTGGTGGAAACGCCAATTTATCTAATTTCGATAGGGATATTGACTTGCAAAAATGGACTGCACAGCGTAAACAGATGTCGAATATTTCTTGGGAAAAGGTAGACAATGCGATTAAGAAAAATGACACTGTTTCTTTTGGTTTTATCAACCCTGCATCTAAACATTCTACTGACGATAAAGATGTGGAATTAACTCAACAAATTCCTTCGATTTCGTTAACTAGCATTTATAATAGGCCCTATTCGCACTGCATCTAGAAACCTGATAATGCTAATCCCTTATTGTTCTATCTTCAAAGGCGGCAAGGGTTTGTCAGTAAGTAGTTTAATTGGTAGAGTGCGAGCAGCAAAATCTGAAATCTGACAAATTGTAAGGTTTCGACTAATTGGTCAAAGGTTCCGTCGTAGAGCTCTGGCAGAATTATCTTAACACCAATAAAAAGCCCAGGGTGCTATTTGAAAACATGTCACAATTTAAAAAGGTACAATTTCTTAATGGCAACCTGATAACGTGTTAGATAAAGATGCAACATCCCAGAAAACTGCCTATTGCGAAAAAAAAGTCTGACAAACTTTGTCAATCTTGAAAAAGTTTTTTTAATTGGCGTGTGAATATCGGGTTTGACAAACATCATATTTGCAGTGCACTGCCCAGGTGAAAATGGTGAGGTATCTTTTCGTTTGCTGAACCCTTTGGACACGCCTGTTATTTCATACAAAGGCTCTATCATTGATAAATTTGAACAAGTAAAGTCACCTGACGATATTATTGCGTTAATTTTCGATAACGAGTTTTCCACAAAGGAAACTCCTTCACAGAGTCAATTTAGCTCGCATTCTTTTACGACTTCTGAGCCTATTAAAGATCTATATATGCAGTTTAAATCTTTGTCTAGCCCTACACCAACAGTTGCAGAAAACGTTCAACTTGTTGAACTTTTGAAAAGTTATTCTGATATTTTTGCGTCGTCCTCCTTAGATCTAGGACATACACAAATAATCGAACATGAAATAGACACTGGTGATGCTAGGCCTATAAAACAACAACCATACAGAGTTTCTAATACACAAAGAGCGGAAATTGACCATCACATTTCTAATCTGCTTGAACAAAACATTATTAGTGTGTCAACAAGCCCTTGGAGCTCTCCTAGATCTTCAATCTGGTTATCACCAGGTTGCCAACTTGCTCAGCAGCGTATGAAGGAGCAGCACTATAAACGTAGTCGTCCTGTACTTTATGAAGTCGGCCAACGCGTATAGGTTTACACGCCTAAACGTCGAAAAGGCTAATCGAAAAAGCTGCTGCATAATAATCACGGCCCATACCGTATCGTTTCGAAATTGTTTCCTGTGCACTTCAAGCTTCGCACGCTAGATAATCGTGTTGTCTCCGTACCCGTGCACGCCAATTGTTTCAAACCGTACTGCGACCCAGCTGATCGTCCGCTTGATCCACCAGTTGAAAATTTGCCACCGGACAGCTTTTGCACTCCTGAGCCCGCTGAAGTCGCTAACGTGTCTCAAAAATTGCCGTCACTGTGACTTCGGAAGAGGAACCTGACATAACACGCCCAGAAGACACCTGGACACCAGATATAGTTCGAAACTTTCTCCCTGACGCCAACCAGGAGGTTTGATCTTAAGGGGGGGGGGGGGGGAATGTTACGCAATGGAGGCGCCGTTACGTTGGAAGTGACCTTTTAATTGATCACGTTTTAATCATTTCATTTTCATGTGTTCGCTTAAATTTTTAACAGTTCTGTGGATCTTTGATCCTTTTCTTAATGTCCATTGGTTAATTTTATGTGCATCATCATTTTAGAACACTAATTGGACATTAGCTTAATCCGATTAGCAGTCATATCTAGCGTGCCAGCTTTAGGGTGGAGTGAGTCTTGAGGGTCCAGCCGCTACGAGAGCAACTAGGAGTCCAGAAACACTGGAAGTAGAAGTCCAGAAACACTTGCCGTGCCCAAGGTTCAGACTCAAGTCCAAGATCCTTCAAGCATCCGCTTTAAAGCTCGCAAAGATAATCTCAAGGTCGTGAGTTACCTTAATTATTATATTTAAGTAATTTAGTGGTTTAATCTCTTGATGTTACTGGGTTTTACCGAAGAACTCGCATTTCTTTAGCCTTTTTCTGCTAGATTAAGCAAAAAGGTTAACAAACGTTCTTTCATCGAAGAGACTTGAGAGTCAAGGAGTAGGCGACACCTACAATCCTATAAACGTAAGTTACCATTGAGTGATGGTGCCTCTCTTCTCAATTTCACTGACTCTTTTCATACAATATTTCTTCCAGTGGCGGAAATTATGGGGGTATAAGCCCACCTCCCCCCTCAATCAGCGATCTCGACGGAAAACTCTGGCTTTCGTCGTATGATTAACAACGGTTTAACGTGTCGAAATGACTGCAAGAAATCGTTCTGAAATGTAATTTAAGCTAATCTAAGGGGCATGTTTGCCAAATTTTCTGCTTGCTTTGCTCGCAGGCGATCCGCATTTTCCCTTTTTATCACAAGGGCTTCTATAACCTATCTTTCTGTTTTGAACATAGCATCGGGTTTTTCCAAATAAAAGATTTTTTCAAACGTATTTCCTACTGGCGAAAACAAGATTAAATGCATAAAATAAACGTACGTTTTGTCAAAAGTGTAACCGGTCGACCTCATGTATCATTAATTGCCATAGATGATATATCGATCTTTTTATCAAAAATCATAATGGATTGTTCTTCTAGATACCTAATTTTGGCGTGGTTAGCAAATACTTCTAAAGGGTCCCGCCAAAAAATCACCTATTTTCATCAAAGTGTGCAGTTTCCTTAAAATTTGACACGATCCAAGATGTTATTTTGTCGGAAAATCATAGGCCTGGCCCCCCCCCCCAAATTAAAGCCTGAATTTCCGCCACTGAACTTCATAACTAACTTTTAATTTTATGACACCATTATATGAACAATTATCAACTGAAAGTCCTTCCAGGATTATTTCTCCCGTTAGAATATTCAAATTTTATGGTTGATATATACCTCGCTGCAGTTATAACAAAACCTTGCAACTGTAAAGACAATAATAAGTCCAGGCCAGGAATGTAGTGGTGGGGGGGGGGGGGGGGTTCAGGGGGGCATAAAACCCCTGTTAAAATTTCCGAAAAAATGGGGGCCTCCATCATCATTTTTGATGTGAAGCTGTGAAGAACTGTTGCTTCACTACAGGTTGGCTATTGACGATTAATGTTATACAATTAGTTTTGTCTGTCGTGCATCGTGTTTGTGGTTCGTTATTGTTAATGAGAATGTCTTTCGATGTTTGCGTCAGTCCATTTTGTTTGTCATCGTGCCATTGTTATTTTAGTAGTTTTTAGTCATTTGCCATTAATTTGTGTCATTAGGGTTTTGTGTGTGTCACCCATGTTGTTAAAAGCGTATGTTCTTTGAGTGTAAGTCCAGTCGAGTCGAAGTTGTCGTTGAATGAAGTCGTTATATTGTAATCGTTGGTTGCTGCTAATTTATACTTTCGCTATTGAATAATCTTGGTTTTAAAAAAATATGTTATTTTTCACTACACCAGAAAATTAAAAGAGAAACAACTGACAGATTAAAAGGCATTGCAAGCTTTTTATGCATCAAAATGTTAGCCTGTGCTTCAGACGGCAAAATCGCGTACGAGGATTGAATTGAATTGTTTGCATAATTATCACATGTTTGTGTAATCATGCAAGAAGAATCGCCAATTTTTTTGATCGGTCGTGGCGGTATGATATACATTTATTTGTTTGAAGAATATGCTGCTCAGCTATTTGATGTTGAAAATTTTCGTTGTGCCACTTCATTGGTTCTGACCAAAACAGAGTATTGAAGGGGCTGTGGGCCAATCTTGCTCATTTTACAGCGGTTGATGGGATCCCCGGGATCTATCGCAGCAATCGAAGTAAAATTTACTTGGCAAGCAACCGATTTGCTTTGAATAGACATTTGGTTTTGCATGGTAGAAGATAGCTATTTACTAATTTGGCTTGAATGTAATGTAAAGAATGATTTTTGGGGACAAGATCTGGTGGATTCGATAACGAAAAGGATTATTGGTAAAGCCCGATCGTCGTTCCACCTAGCAGTTTTGGAATCTATCTACAGAAGCACGAAAAAACCGCTACTGTGTAGACAAAAGGAGTTCGTTTTCATATTAGGATTCCATTGGTAACATTCTCAATAGGCAAGCGGCACTGATTGGTCAACCTCAACAGTCATGTGCTCATGTTTCTGATTGGCCTATTTCGATCCACAACTGGGTATACATAGTTCCTAGCGTAGAGTTTTCGGTCTATGTTCTGACGTTTTAAACTCTGGAGAGTGTCAGACAAAAAGCTTTAGTTTACTAAATGTTTGCTTTTTTTCAAAGCCATTTTCAAGTTTTGTACCACCAAAAGATGTTTTGCATAACGAAAGGAGTTTCGGAGGAGTGATAAGAAATGGAAACCGAAAAGTAAAAAAGACGCTTTGTCTTCAAGCCGTAGAAAATGATCCCTGCTTATAAACTCAAGTTTACAAATAGTGGAACTAGTGAAACACTTATCATTGATCCGGACAAGGCTGCCTAACAGAGAGGCATAGGCCTAGGCTATTTTCATTATGATAGCGATTGCTTTGCTATAAACACGTCTTCTAAGTTTGTTGTTTGAAATTAGAAATTCTGATGTTTAAGAATAATTTTTCAACGTTCATTAACACACAAGAGAAGAGTTATCAACAACAAGAGTGTGTTTTGATAAAAAGTCACCCTCTGTTTTTAAAGTGCTTCCATTCTCGCGCCGGGCGACAATTATCTAGGCGTCATGATATTTTCAAGGCTTTCAGGCATCCAGAGATCCTAGGAACGCTCGTACGCGATTTCTCTCTCGGTTACACAGACCCTTTACTTTCAAGTTAGGGGTCTGGAACACGGGCTAGTAAATGTACGCAAAGTTTGACATTTATAGATAGGGAATTCTTGAATACTTTCTTACTGAGTACGTTTAGTTGCAGTTTTGTATCGAGGGTTGTTTTTTGTTGCATTTAGAAATGCCTGAATCAACAACCCTTCCAATGGTATCAATGTTCTGACCTCAGCTGCCGCTCAAACAGTCAATACCGGTGCTAAACCGATGATCGGCAAAAACATTACCCCTCGTCATGTTCGAATTGCAATGATTACATGACAAGAACAACTTAAACTTTCATAGAGCCAGTGGCGGCGCCAAGGGGTGGCATGGGAGGTAATTACCTCCCCCCACTTTTCTGAAAACATGGTCTACATACAGTATAATCTCGTTAAGTGGGACACTCAAGCGACCGAGCAAAAGTGTACTACTTTGCGGGGGCGTCCTACTTATCCGAATGCTTGAAAAGGGTAAGCAAGTTCAAGAGACCGAGAAAATCTGTACTACATAGCGGGCGTCCTACTTATCCGGGGTCCCACTTAACGAGATTATACTGCATTTCTTCTAAGAACAGACTGAAAGGCGCTGGGTAGGAGTAGACCAAATTTCCTAAGGAAAGTTACCCTGGTACAAAGCACTGAAACGAGGCAAAAGGGGCGTGGTCTCTTTGATAGCTGGAGCCACCACTGCATAGAGCCCCCCTTGTTAAAATTTTACGACTTCCTCCCTGGTCCTGGCTGTCTGGGTTGTCACAAATAGCAACATCAGCATACCAACTCAACCTTCGATACCTCTTGCTTGAAAAGAGATGAACAACGAGGGCAGTAACTCACTGATGGACAAAGACATCTTTTTATAAATCAAGTAACTATCTGATATAACTAATATATAGAGATAAAATTATTCATACACTACAGAAATGGGGCCTGGATTGATTGCATAAATTATAGCAATGCCTTGTTAATGCACGGGGAATGTAGGCATGACCCGACTAAACATTGGGAATCTCTGGCTTCTAATTGGGAAGTAATGAAATATTTTTTTAGCTGACTAAGTATTGGGTAGTAATGACATTGGAAGTAGGAAAATATGTACGTTGTCACGTTAAGAAATCATACTTTGTCTCTATGAGGGCTGTAAACACAGCAACAAAGCACAATACTGTGAGGCCATGCACAAGGCCAAAAGACAGAGGAATACTGACATGATACAGGTAAAGTGCGATGATTTGACCAAACATAATACCAAACTGGCCAAAAGCGTCAGATAAGCCGCACCCAAACGTCCTAGAGGATGTAGGAATGAGTTCTGCTCTGTAAACTAACAAAACATTATTAAGCGTCGAAGAACCAAGGACTGTGAAAGCTAGTGCCATAAGCAGCGGCCAGCCACGCAGAGGCCAGTAAAATGGTACGAGGCAAACAGCAAGGTAAACAACCAAAATCTTCAAAGTAAGCTTTCTTGTTACATTGTTCAACAACCAATAAGACGCAACAAAGGACAATAAAACAGCTGTTTCCACAGACCAACGGTATTTGTACGTTAGATTTTGAAAACATTTTCCACATCCCAAAACATCAGAATTTTCACCAAACTGCATTGACCCAAAGCGCATCGTTCCAGAGACAACATCTCCGTAAAACTGCAAAAGTGAAAGCAAAGCTATTCTTTCTGCTAATTCTCTCCTTGAAAGTTTGCATTCAGATTCAAGTTTTCTCTTTGCCCCTTCTTCTTGGTATTCAGCTTCGGCACAGGCTTCTCCCAATGGAACATATCCTTTTTCACACCCGTTCATTTCAGCTATCCTTTCCAGAGACTTTTCGGCTTCTTCACGTTTTCCTGCAGCTGAAAGATATCTGGGGGATTCTGGCAAGTAAAAGACTAGAAATGTTGACAACGCAATTGGTATTGTTTCTGCAAAAGTATCAAACCATCTCCAGTTTAGATACTTTAATGTAACGCCAGCAACTACAATCCCATATCCACATCCAAGGCAAAACGCGAGTTCAAACAGTGACATAAACTTACGTCCAGATAGTGGCAAAATTTCCATTGTATATGTAAAAATAATTAAAGTGCTTGAGGACACAAGACCGATAAATCCGCGAATTATAGACAACAATAAGACACTTGACGACAACGAATAAAGTAAGGCCAAATACGAATTCGCAACAGAAGCCAGAATCAAAATCTTACGTCGACCATATATATCTGACAATT